GGCAGCCTGGAAGTGATTGGGTCAAGGATCAGGCGAATGGAGGACATGGTCAGACAGAGATCAGGATCTGAAGCCACAGAGGCACAGAGGATTGGGCGTGGGGGCTGATGGTTAACTTGACATGAAGGAAAAAGACTAGGAGAAAACAAAGCCATGGGGGTGGAGGGAAGGCAAGTGAGCAGGGGGTCAGAAGACATGGCAGCAACCAGGAGGCAAAAGGTGGCATGTAAAAGGGACAGAGGACTTCATAGAGGGGATTGTGGCTGATGTCTGGAATTGGCATGGGAGAAAAGAAAGACCATGATCTCACTCCTATTACTGAGGGAAACAGAGGAGCTTCTGACAAAAGTCAGGTTTCAGGTGGTCAAGGAGGCAAAAGAAAGAGGTTGAAGCTTCAGGGCTATTGTTTAACGCAAGAAGAAGACAACCAGAGGGCAAAACACAAAGAAGTGCCTGGGAGGAAAAGAAACACAGAGCACTAATGGTGAAAGCACCCTGAGAGGGCATGGAAAGACACCAAGTGAGTCGGCCCCCATGCTGCCAGGGGCATTAGTTTCAGACATCCCCTGGTGAACATGGATGCGTGCGGGGTCCCTGATTTCACCCAGTCTAGTTGTGATACACTTCTGAGGGTGTCCTAGTGTGAAGTGCACAGGGAAACCCTGCTCTCTCAGGAAGAGTGAGCTATGGTATGGTCTGAATGAGGGGATCAGGGAAAGCTGCCAGACTCAAGCTCCCGAGGAAAGGTTAGGACCTTGTGGGCAGTAGGGAACTTGAGAAATGAGAACGGTCAGAGGCTGTGTTCACATCCCAGGCAATGTGGGGCTACTCGTTAGTCCCAGGCACAAAGCCAGGAACACACTTAAAAAGTCAAAAACAAATTTTCAGCTTAGTTATGCCCTTGGTTTTCACACTATGTATATAAAAAACCTAGATGAACAAAATAGATTAATGACTCATAAAAAACATATGAGGCATTACACATGTGTAAATTTTCCAATAACTGAGTCCCACTCCTTTAAACCTAGGGATTATTCATTTTCAACATTTTTTATATAAAACAACTCTAATACAAAATATATGCTTTTGCCAACCTGACAATTATGAGTTTGAGCATAGAACTGTATACTTGTTGAGAGAGCAAACTTGCTTTCTAGAGGCTCCTGAGTAAGCCTTCTTAAAGTGAACACACATATAACTTAAGTACTGTGTTGACGATGCATGGGCACATGAAGGGGTGCTGCAGCCTGACTTTATACCAAATATCCCTGGTTTGCTGCCAGTGCCATTCTTTGCCATTGCCTCACTCTCTGTCAGTTCTAACTATTGCCCAGAGAAAAGATGTCAAGCAGTCACCTTTATCCACCATGATTTACTGGCCTAAAAAAATGACTTCAGAAAAAAATTGATAAACAATGTTTTCTTTTATAGTCAGTAATGATAACGGAAATTTACAGATAGTTGAGTTGTAAATTAGCACACAATGCAGAGCTCATGAGTACTGTGCCAGCCACTGCCCTGGTCATCTTGCTCTCCAAACATCACTTGAAGAAATATCTCCAGATGCTTGGAATAATGGACCTGTGTTCATTTCACATTGCGAAGCTTAGAGTTCAAATATGTTTCCTCATTCAGCGATTTAAAGCAAGAAGCCAGCCATTAAAAACCAAAACAAAGAGAAACCACAGACTATCCCTTCCCTCTAAAAGTAGTTTTAAGAGAAATAGAATGTCTCTGTTTTCTACAGACAAAACAAAATGACATGATAAGAAACAAGACTTCAAGCATTGTGGTGGTTAATGTTTCAAATTATTTTCTTCCTTCTCAGGATAAAATGTGGTTTTGAGACTCACAGAATATAGCAGTTGCCCTTATTTTAGGTTTCTCTGCTCAGTGACATTGTCATTTGTGGGACAAGAAGCATACTACATTAGTGGTGTAAAACCAGAACTTCAAGGTTCTAACCCAACATTTCAAGAGTACCCTGTCCTCGACCAGCTGCAATAACATTTAATTAGTAAGACATTAGCATAGGAGTGTTCTTCCTAGTAGGTAAAGAATATTTGCTACCTAGAATGTCAGGCACTGGCTGGTAAGAACGCCCCTGCCCAAGACTCAGAGGTTTTGTAAAAGTCAGGATGCCAATGCTGAGCACATATTTAAAGCATATTCCTTTCCTTTGACACCTAGTATTTCCCTATAGTTTCTCAGTTTCTACAGCTAACTTGGTCAAGACCTGGAGTGATAAATGGTAACAGTTTTAAGAAATCCAAATAAACTGGAAATAATTAAATAAGTACAGTAAGGTATATATGCATATAATTACAAATCCATAATCTCTTATGGACCACTTCAAAATCCAAAAGACTATGATGAAAACTGAAGCTTTTCTGTATAAGTCGTTAGTATACAGACTTGATCTGAATTCATATGCTGGCAACACCTGAATAAGGCTATTTTGTGTGTGGATATTCCACTAATGGTGCATATTCTCATCTTAAGCTACAGAAATAATAACTTGCTTAGTTGAGGTGGGTGGCTGCCCAGACCCCTGGAAGTGTTATGCTAAGATTACGTTGATGTTCTAAATTATTTGCTTCATTGTATATCAACGCACCACACTGCCATTCTAAAGTCTGAAAATGCCTGATTTCAAAGCACAACTAGTAAAGATCACCGTAGAAGAGATGTAGACCTGTGTAAACGCCAATTTCTACCCAATATGATTAATCATGCAAAAATATATTTGTCTGAAAAGAACCCGTTTGACTCAAAGTATATATATAAACATCAGTAATAAACATGGATAATTTTATATGCAAATGCTCATACTTTGGCATTATGAAGTATGATTAATTCTGACTACTTTGTAGCAACAGCTTGTTCTCACACCAGATAAATAACACATACTGCTATTTGATGGCTCATGCAACTCAGCATTTGTCAATCTCAACTGAGGCATCGGAGGCCTCCAGTCATTGCTCTTGCTAAGATGCTGCCAAACTGGGTAAAAAGCTACTAGTACCAGCAATTGTAGCCAGTTTATGTGGTATTAGGCAGAATGAAAATAATACTACACACTGCCTACTAGACACATAAAGTTTCACAACACAAATGCAAATTAATTTTCACACATAGTTCTAATAAGTTTATTCATGCTGAGAAAGGCCTACTAATCTTCAGAATTCTAAAGTGCTATCTAAGAAAATGAGTATAGTTTTCATACAAATGATATAAACAAAATTGAAGAAGGATTATATGCAGCACCGATGAAAAATACTGCATGCAGTTATTTCTCATTGTCAGCCATTCCTACTGTACCATGGAGCACCACAAATCCCCATGATGTCTCTTTAGATTATACCTTACATTTAAATTTTTATTTTTTCTGTAATTTAAAAACACAAGCTCAAAGGCTCAATTAAGCAGAAATGCAACAGACAACGCTCTAAAATTTAAAGGAAAACTTACTTTGTGTATTTGCAATATTTAAAGATAAAGGCACTATCTTAAAGTAATGATTTACATATTTGGTTCAATTGACGTATTTACTAAATACACTTTGCTGTCTTTAAATTTAGAACATACAACTTCAAATAATTCAATTTCTATAAGAGTCAATTCCATTTTTCACATAAATAATCCTAAATTTAGGATTTGGAATTTTGGAATATTCATTGATCATTGCATTCTTTCAGGTTCCACACTTTGTACCTACTGATCTCTCACCCAGAAAACCCTTTCCACACTGCACCCGTTCATCTTTCAAGGCTCAGATCAAAGTTGCCTCTCTTGAAGCCTTCCTCAATTCCTCTGAAAAGAATTTTTCAACTTTTCTTTTTTGCTACCAGCATACTTCTTTCACAGAGACAATTTTGTTGTAATTATTTCTCTCATCTATCCCAACTGGGCAAAAGGCCTACACAAGAATGGTGCTATATTCTTAGTTTCTGTCCCAGAACTTTGCACACGAATGTCTCTCCCTCAATAAAAATTTTAATTAATGAATGATCAAACAGAGTTATATCCCATCATAAGGTCATGCTCTCCACAAATACAATCATCTGGTAAGAAAACTTGTAGGAAATGCTAGACTCTTGTATGGCAGGGGATTGAAGGAGGCCCTCTTTAAAACAGAAGGCAGAATTCAAAATAGATCTCACAGAATTACTCCAGCTGTGCTGTGTATATTCAAGTGGGATGAGATGTTAGATGTTAAAAGCTGGACAGAAAAGGTGGCTGTGGTAACTTGCTTTATTTCAAGTTTCCTCTCAATGCCACATCCTAAAGCATTCAAAGAGATTAATTTTGAGTCAGTGATACAGGCTTAAAGAACAAGAATTCTCTTGGCCATGCATGGTGGCTCACACCTGAAATCCCAGCACTTTGGAAAGCCAAAGCAAGTGGATTGCTTGAGGCCAGGAGTTCAAAACCAGCCTGGCCAACATGGTGAAATTCCGTCTCTATTAAAAATACAAAAAAAATTAGCCAGGCAACATGGTGTGCACCTGTAATCCCAGCCACTTGGGAGGCTGAGGCAGAAGAATTGAGGGTGCAATGAGCCAAAACTGCACCACTGCACTCCAGCCCGGGCAACAGAGTGAGACTCCGTTAAAAAAAAGAATTTTCTTAAACTTATTTAAGAAAAATACTCAAACTTCATGTACACAAGCATCCCATAGGTCCCAAGTTAAAAATACACACTACTGTGATTCAGGAGGTCTGGCTGGGGCCTGAGATTCTGCATCTCTAACAAGCTTCTGGGTGAGGCTTATGCTGCTGGTCTATAAACTATACTCTAAGGAGCACACAGAGGAAGAGATAGACATATTTGGCTCCAAAGTCAGAGTAGGACTTGTCTTCATTTCATTACCATAATACCATACCCTTATTAATATTCCTTTCTATAAGCTATCTTGATGATATCAATTACATAAAACATTATTGAAAATTCAACTAGAAGAAATTCATATGACTAAAAAAATTTTAATTGTTCTTACCTATACTCTGGTAATGCCATCGAAAGAAAATTCGTTCAGGTAGAAACTGCAGTATTTTCTATTAAAAAAAGATATAAAGAAAATAAACAAAAAATGAAATTATACATTTTCGTTAACAGGACCATATTACTTGCTATATATAAGTTCTAGAAGAAGAAAACTGTTTACAATAACATAAACACTGCACTTTATGCTGTATTCTTATGGATAGTTTCTTTCACTTGCCCCAGGCAAGCTTTCTTACCTGAATGTTTTATAAAGATCATTGTCCCAAGTTTAATTCCCTCCAAAAGAAAACAAGAAAAAATCTAAAATGTTGATTTTATCTTAATTAAGTAATAGCCCTTTCTTAAATATTAGAATAATAATTTCCCAAATGACAGATTCCCCAGGTTTCTTCTTTTTCACCATCTCCTTCTCATTTTCATTATAAACACTATTAGTCTCTGGACAAAGAATAGGATTGGGAAGAAAAGTGAAAACAAAGAGGATGAGACTGTAAACAATTCAGTAAGACAAGAAAATGAAACTGGTGGCAAGAATTTCATTAAATTAATGGCCGAAAAATATTAGTAAGTTTTAAATTATAGTTAAGAATATCCCCAAACTTTTACAAGTTTTTTTTGTTTGTTTGTTTTGTTTTTTTGTAGAGTCCATATATAAGAGATCACACAGTATCCTTCATTTTTTTTTTCTTTGAGACAAACTTGTTCCGTCGCCCAGGCTGGAGTGTAATGGTGTTATTTCAGCCCACTGCAACCTCTGCCTTCCAGGTTCAAGTGATTCTCCTTGCATGAGTCTCCCAAGTAGCTAGGATTACAGGGGCCTACCACCATGTCCAGCTAATTTTTGTATTTTTAGTAAAGACGGGGTTTCACCATGTTGGCCAGGCTGGTTTCGAACTCCTGACCTCAGGTGATCTCCCAAAGTGCTCAGATTACAGCCGTGAGCCATCACGCCCAGCCCCATGCAGTATCTTTCTGTGCCTAGCTTATTTCACTTGGCAACAATGTCCTTCAGGTTCAACACATCATCACAAGTGACAGCATTTCCTTTTATAAGGCTGAACAGTGTTTCATTGTGTATTCACACCACATTTCTGTATCCATCCATCTACTGACGGACACTTAGGTTGTTTCCGTATCTCCACTACTGTGACTTACACTGCAGTAAATACGGGGTTGCAGATATCTCTTCTGCATACTGATTTCAATTCCTTGAGACATAAAGCCAGAAGTGGGATTGGTGGGTCATATGGTAATTTTATTTCTAGTTTTCTTAAGGAATTTCCATACTATTCTCCATAATGGCCGCACTAATTTACACTCCCACCAACAGTATACCAGCATTTCTTTTTCTCTATATCTTTGCCAACACTTGTTACCTGTCATCTTTTTGATAACAGTAATTCTAACAGATGTGAGATGATACCTCACTGTGATCTTAACTTGCATTTTCCTGATGATTAGTGATGTCAAACTTTTTTTCATAAACTTGTTGGCCAAATATATGTATGTATTCTTATGAGAAAGTTTATTCAAGTCACCTTATCTTTCAAGTCCATAACTCTGAAAGGTATCTCATATCTAGCGTTACTACATGGTAATTCTGACATACACTCAAACATGCTCACACACATTCCAAATGCTATTCAGTGAAAAATACCTACACACCAGACAACAGGCTTCACTCTTGAAAAATAAAATAGATATAAATAAATATAGTCCTTCCAAGATTTCATGATTAGTTTGCAAAAAAGACGATAAAGAATATCATTTAGCAAAAAAAAAAAATTAAATTAAATTAAAAAACCCCTGACAGACGTTTGTATAAAATATTACAGAAGTAAGGAGGAAAGTGCTTCACCTAAGCAGGGGCTTCCTAGAATGCTTCCTTGAAATGACGACACTTGAGCTGAGACTTAGAAGATGAATTAAATTTGCCTAGTGAATAGGGACAGAAGGAACACCATGGGAGAATGCTAAGAGGCAAAGACAGCAGCAGAAGGGTCAGTTTGGCTGGTAGGTGGTGAGAAGGGGAGGAGATAGGCCTGGAGAGGCAAGGGAGGCTGGGAGCTTAATGTTCTCAAGGGAGCCGTGTGGTCCCTGAATTTGGTTCCAGCAAGAGGTAAACTGGAGGCAGCTGAGAGAGGTGGCAGAGACAATCACTGAAGAGAAACAATGGTAGCATTTCAAAGGAGAAATAAGAAGGCCTGGACCAAAATCCACCAGGTAAAGAGAACATCTAATAGTAATAAGCAAGAGATTAAACTGTTAAGATAAATGGGTAGAGGGGCTGTGGTAAATGGAGGTCTCCAGCATGGCTCCGGATGGCTTAGTAGATGGCAACACTTTTATCCAAGAGATGAAATCCAGATGGAATCTTAGATGCAAGGAGAATAAGCATGTCAAGTTTGATTCTTGACATCCTGGCATTTCAGGGTCAATGGTCGACCTTACTAGAGATGTTCTTCTAGGCAAATGTGTAAATGGGTCTGGAGTACAGGGGTAGGATTTGGATGGCAACAGATATGGGTAGCAGCTAAAGCTGTGTGTATATGACAGTTCTCTTTTGACAGAGTTTAAAACAAGACAAGGTGAAGCTCTGGAGGTATCCATGAGCTGAGGGAGCTCTGCTCAGGTTAAATTAAGGTAAAGCAGAAGCTAAAGGCTAACATGCTCGAATCCAAGGAGAAATATTTGATGTTTCATCTGTTTATATGCTTATTTATTGTAAAGATTAGAAACATTTAAGAGTATTTAAATGCACAACTAGTTCTAAAAAGTTAAACATATTACAAATGTGGGGAAATGAATGTCACATAACAAAATGACTTCAATATTAAATCAAGTGAGCTCAATGTTAATCTCTTGCCTTGAGAACACACAACTTTTGTAAGCCAGACAGCAAATGCCAGGCATGACAGATCCATCTGTAAATTTTACAGAAGTAAATGGCTGTTTCAGGGGAAAAAAAGCGAAAAGCGACATAAGTCTTCCCCTTGCAATATGCACTAACATGAATTTTAGATGAACACCACAAAAAAAGAAGCTAAATATAAAAACTGGGTTGTTGTGTTTTGTCAAGTTACATTAAAAGGGAATAAGTAAAACAGCTCTCTACAGAGTATCTTAATAAGAACCCAGGTGAGCACTGTCTTACCAACAGAATCCAAATGCAAACATCCCCATGAGCACATAGGATCAAGAACCCACAGAGCTAGGTTACAACCTACAGGAAGAAACCACAAGCGAAGAGATTAAAACAAGAAATGCAAAGACTCTGGAACTGAGAATAAGGACTAGGGTCCCAGGACTTAGGCTGCCAGGCCAAATGAGCAACTCCAGAGCCAAAAATAAGCACAATCCGGAGATGGCTTGGGGAGCACCAGGCTCGAGAGATGAAGACAGCCTGCACCACCTGCAACTAAGTTTTATGGTTCTTTAACTCAAAATTTCTCTTAACAGAAAAACTTACTATAGACCTTAATTTAGTATCTTTGATTTAAAAAATTAATGATAACGGCAAGCTGAGTTTTCTGGAAAACATGGTGCAATGAGGACTTAGGAGTACAAATGGCCTACTGAGGACCAACACCTGTGAAAGGGAAAAGCCGGCAGCAAGATTGGACGGGGAGCCTCAGACAACAAGGTGGAGCTGACAAATCTCTGCCAGCCTAGTGGAAGCTCCACAGCAAAGATGAGAGGAGTCCAGTGCAGCAAGAAGTGACAAGGTCCTCGTACTACTGTCTCTGGCAGTTACTGGCTTGGGGCCATGATGAGAAGAGTGTGACCAGGGATGGAAAGCTGAAGGTGTGAAGAGCTGGAAGCCATCAGCTAACGCCACTCCTTGTAGCTGGGCAGCACATTCTTTCTTGAAGGGGAATATGTGCAGCCCACCTCTGTGTGTGCCACAATATTCTTCAAATTATTAATCAGAATATACTCATCACATTAATAAGCTGAAGCGCTGAGAGAGGGGTCCCCTACTTGAGAGACATGGCTTCTCTGCTGGCACTGTTTCTCAACAGGTGGCTGCTACCTCATGCAGATGGAAGCCTGGTCCCACTGACCTCTCCCCATCCTCTCTGTGCCTCTTTCCATGCAGTTCACTATGCCTGGGCAAATGGCACAGCAGTAACTTGGTGTCCTATCATCTCACACATTCTCCTTTAAGGGACGTGGCAGCCCAGCTACAACCCAGGATCATATTCTGATCCCATCTTGCCACGTAAACAGTTCATATAGGAAATGCTGAGGAAATTTAAGATTCAGAATAGATTTATCTTGGATTAGATGAATGCTTGACATATCCACTGTTCTTCAGATGGTTAATTTAGTCAGGAAACTAATTTGGCAGTGAAAATCATGCTTTTTTGTTTTCCAGAACACATACTGGTCTTCTTGATTTCGTTTTCTTTTGTTAGTACACAACAAAGAAAAGCATAGAATACAGCAAGACGATGCTTGGATACTATCAGTCTGCCACAAAAGTAATTTCCAACTTATTCTGAGGTCAGGCCTAACATTATCACCACTTCTGGGTAAGTTTTCAGATTCACAAAATGGATGGACTTTAAAAACACTCAAAAATAAACTCAATAAGATTTGGATATGAAATGAGCTACTAAGAATATTCCCAAATGGACAAAATCTTACACAACAATTCAAAGGCTGAAAAATTACCCACACTGATACTTCTTTTTGTACCCAAATATCGCAAAGGCCACTGTTTATAACGTCTATGAGGTCAATAAAAATAAAGCTCAACACAACTATCTAAGTTTAAATGCTAAGCCTGTCCCTCAAAGTCCTAGAAGAAGCCTACTTTTACTCGGGCAAACACAATCCAGCATTTCTTCTACTGTAGCCAGTATTCTAAGCTATACTGCGGTGAATGCCACATAAGCTATTGACATCTTGTTTGTAGTTTCACTGGAGAGTAAAATAAAAAAAAATCAAGAAAGCCACACAGTATGAATAAATATTACTTTTCTGAAAAACACATGGCTCTATTTAATGCTCAGTGCTCAGCTGCAGTCTATATGGTAATCCATTA